AAATGCTGACTGCTATAATATTAAGCACACCTCATCTCCAACTAACTACAGTAGGAGCCGAGGATGCGCAGAACATCATAGAAAGCTAAGCGTTACAAGATGCAGCCCCCCAGGAGACTGTTCAGCTCAGTGCTCTGAACAGTCGGGGATGCCAAGAACCTCAGAGTGTGGATTAAAGGATAAGAAACATCAAATTTCAGGAATATCTACTTCCTCTGTTGGGTCGTTTGTCCATGTAGAAAGGGGACAGAGTATAGCACCGTGGCTGTCAAATCATCTGCATGAAATGCAAGAGGTAGTCTTCTCAGCTAAGAGCACATAGGATCAAGCTTTCTAAGAAAATTACCTTTGGCATTCCAGTCACAATTAAAAAGTTTGATTTTGCTCATTTCCTATTAACTTCAATGGGAGCTTTGCCTGAGTCACAACTGCAAGACTGTAACCACAGGACTAATAGGCAATGTTTCCTTACAAAACAAACAAAAAATAAATGAAAAAAAAAATCCTTTCTTGCCAGACCTGGGAGTTCAGTTTAAAAGACATATATGCCACATGGACTTTTTTTTTTCCCTAGAAAACTTCTGTTAGTTCAATGCCCTTTAGACCTTTCAAACAGCTGGAATTTTTTTTTAAAAAATCTTTTAAAAAAATTTTCTAAACATGTTTAAAAGAAACAAATTCATGATCTATTGGTAAGGAGAAAGAATTGTGCCTGAAGTAGAATGGTCCATAGTTAACAGTTATGTACTTCTCCACTGCATGAAAATACATTGCACTTCTGTTTATGTACACCTGTTGACAGCTTGGTCACATTTGTAGGTACAATCAATCAGGGCTTATCAAGAGATTTGAAAACCTTCAGCAGGCAAGAAAATGTCATACAACCCTGAGGTCATAGAGAACAATGAAATGCAAATGCCTAATTATTCAGAGTCAGATGGTAATTAGCCATACAGTTCCAATTAATTTCTAGAGGAAGTTAGGAGAGGAAAAAAAACTTGTATATGAACTCCAAAAATATGAAAAATATAGGATTCTTTACAAATCATGTTTTGAGGAAGAAACAATGTATTTTAAAAGGCAGTGAAAAAATCCAAGATTTCCTTGTTATAAAACTCTCTCTCTCATTACCTTGCAGAAGTATATTTCTAGTGCTGAAAATCTGAAGAATCAGAAGAAAAGTAGGTCTGTTCTTGTATTCAAAATCTCCAATACCTGTGTATGTTGTGTAACTAAGGACCATACTGTGCCATCAGTTTTTAAACTGGAAACATGCCTATTGAAACTATTTTGATGAGTTCTGCTTAAAAAGTAATGGGCAAACAGTCTCAAGAATGGTTCAATCCAGTTGACATGTCCTGTACCTACTTATAATCTGCAAGAGAGGTCCAGTTTACTTCATAGGAGGTAGGATCAGGCCCCAGACAACTCAGAAGATAGAAACCATTACAGAGTTAAGTACTTTGTCATATATATTTGACTGTTTAATTAGGGATGGGGAACATTCAGACTGAGAGTTAGCTGCTGGTGATCCACCGGATGGTTTTTTTACTTGAGCGTTCACAGGCATGGACTCCCGAGCTCCCACTGGCCATGGAGCATTGTTCCTAGCCAATGGGAGCTGCAGGAAGCAGTGGCTCAGAACAGCAAATGGTGGCCACTGGGAACGGTGGAGCTCCATGTCTGCGGACGCTCAGGTAAGCAAAGCTTCTGGCAGTCCACCCAATGCTAACTCTAATGAACCACGTGCATCCAGCAGGCCGGTGGTTCCCCACCCCTGATTTATATGGACACAAAAAATTATTTCTGCATCTCCCCATGGAAATACTACTAATAAAGTACCTTATATTAGTACAGGCCCTCACAAAATAAATATCCCATTTTCCTGGAAGGGCAGTAAAATTTAGCATATATGCAATGAGATGACTCCTCTGCACTATATTAAGACTTGTGGACTGATTGAGACCTGTTTTTATAGACCTTTTCTCTTAACCTCTGAATGCAATCAGTCTCAACCTTTCCCTTTTAGTGTCACTGCCATCAATGCTCTGAAATATTGTGAGTACAGTATTTGCTCCTTCAAGAATGGATATATTAACCCAACATCTGCTTCTCATAAACAACCCCTTTTTATAGTATTTGCGAGTGTGCGTGCGTGCGTGTGCGTGTGTGTGCATGCATGTAAATCAGCTGACTTCAATTTTAAAGATTCATCATGTGGAAGATTTGTTCCTGTCCTTCAGATTTTAGAATATACGAGCAAGCACATTCCTACAGCTTTGGTTTCTTTCTATTTTTTTAGAGGATTTCTTAACAAAGGTCTGTTTAGTTGCTAGTTAAATCAAATTTAACAGGGAGAAAAATGAAATAAACTTTTAAGTCAATTGATTGGTTGCAGTAACTGTTACACCAGTGGCACTCTGTCTACATGTCCCCACAGAGTGGCAGTAGTACTTGAGTACTTTCTCAAGGTTAGCCAATGGAAACAGCCATTATGGTGAAAGCAGGAAATGATCGGATCTTCACTCCTTCATATATCATTTGCCTGCTAACCCATAAAAAAGTTCTAATCGGGATTCAAGCAGAAATTCAAGCAGAAATTTTCTACTGCCTTTTTAGTACTGGAAGTTTTGCCATGGACGCCAATGGGAACAGGAGAAGATCCTTCCATGCTCTGTTGTTACAAAATGGAGGGCAATTGGCCACCATTAGTAGGAACAAGTGAGCCAATTCAGACACAATAAGAACCCTCCAATATTCAAAAAGGACTTTTTGTTATTTTTAGTTCCAAAGTTTTGGTTAAAACATTTCTTTTACAGGCTTAGCCAAATCTACAAAAACCTGTTTTTCACCATTTCCAACAAAGCCAAACACAGGACTCTAGCACAAGGGAGGCTGATTTTACTGCCTTTCTTAACTTGCAATTTTCTGACAAGTAGCAAGACTTTTAGAGGCTTATGCTAGCTTCTTACCCTTGAGGTGTTCTCATTGCTAACCAGCCCTTGGAAATACCAAGAAACCAGCTCCCCCCAGAAAGCAGCATTCCTAAGAGAACTTAATGGACGTGAAATTCAGCATCAGGAAAAAATTTAGTGATTAGGGCAGATAGGAGTAAGGATCTTGTACTTGGGGTCCAGATCTTTAGGCACTGCAGTGCCTAACTACCTTTAAAAAACTGGGCCTAATGCCCCAAATCAACATAGCAGTAAGGGCTAAATCCAGAGACGCTGAATGCTTCTATTTCCAATTAGCTTCTATGGGAGCAGGCTATTCTCAGCACAGAATAGTACCAGGTCCTCAGGTTGTAGGGGAAGGTAGTCTTATCAAGACACAGACCTAAATTTCAGGAGGTTGTGCACATACCGCTCCCATTCACTTCATATGGAATGGAGGGGCCTCTACACTTCTAAATCCCACATTTAAAATATTCACTGCACTAAAAACAAGTCAGCCTCCATCTCAGTCTGGATTCCACTTAGATTCTTGTTTTGGCTAGAAAGGATATATTAGCAAGAATAGAATACATAATAGGAATATTTTGAAAAATGTGAGAAAGCTTAAATAAATATTTTAAAAACTCATCTTCAAACAATTACTGCTTTGGCCCTAATCCCGCAGTGAGCACTACATAGTCAGATTCCTGACCCCATAAAAACCTCACTGGAGTCAATAAAATTCTGTGCATAAGTCCACTCACACCTGGCTAGTTGCAGGACTGTTTATTTTTCTTTTTTAAACGTGCAATGTTACAGCCTTTATTCACGGAATTAGTCCTTACCCACACTAGCTTCCAAGGGACTTTTTATATGTGGGAAGGCTTCTGGATAAGGCTTAATCCAGCAATCCTTTTGTAAACCACTGTGGCAAAAATTATCAAAAAGTTCTCAGAGTGGATTCTTAAATGAATAACCCAAAACTGAAAATTCAAACACAACATGAAATCCATAGGAGCTACAGACAATTGGCTCTTTTCAGATTCAGACCCTGATATGTCTCAGGTTGGGCCTCCAAACAATGCGAGACCTGAGATCAGAGGCCAACTTTTGAAAACTTCAATAGGAAGCTAAAGGTACTCAAGTAATTCGTATTCCGCATATTGCAAGATCTGACCTTATGAAATCACTTTGTTTCCATGACCTGTAGCTTTTATGTAAAACCTGAATTTTATCTTTGAATGATCATGTGAAAAATATCATTCTTCAAATGGCCTCCATGAAATCCTCCTTCCTAAAATTCTTGAAATTGAAAAGATACCTGTTTGGGTATTGATGGTTATTGCAGAAAGGGGGCCTGTTCCAGAGTCCATAGATATCAATGAGAGTCTTTCCATTCACTTTGATGGACTCTGAGCCAGGCCCAGGCTTATTTTCTCCTTTTAAGTCCACATAAATATTTGGTCCAGTTTGAAAGAATGGTCTGAGAATATACCTGAAAATAGAGATCCTATAATAATGGCAGGCTTTGCCCCCCATGCTAAAGGTTTTACACATTTTTTCTGATAGTTCGCACAAAACAAAGCCATTTTCAGAAGCACACAAAAAAAGAAAAAGAAAATACAGATGTCATTTGTACAGTCTGACACAGGGAGGAAAAATATTCAGCAGAAATGTTAAGAGTAAATTATAGCTGTTTAAGCTTAAAATGAAAGGCAAAAAGCTGCAAAATCTTGCAAAACAGAAGCAACAAAGGATGGGACTAGCAAAGGGTTCGCTCTTTAAAAAATGAAGACAACTGAGGTAACAAAACAAACACACAAATACAAACATCTAAAAATAAGCATTTTATACATTTTGCCAGTGCTTCTCTGAGAGCAAGTTCTTTAAACAGAACTTCACAATTTTACAATTTTTTTTAAAAAAATATGTCATCCTAAAATAGCCCACCAATCCTTACCCAAACTTTCTGTATTTCTACAAAAATAGACACACAAAGAACTATAAAAACTCTGTTCCTGAAAGGACGAGCGCTGTAGTCAA